TGAAATCCTATTAGTATTTTTAACACTCCCCTTTTTTCGTTCTTTTGCTCAGTTAGATCAGCTCCTTTTGTCAGGATGAGTTTAAATCTGGGTCCACTGTGTTAATCACCCCCCTTTCTTCTTTCTGGCACTTACCCTCCAGGCATTTTGCCTCTTTAGGAGATTAAGCGACCAAGTCATCTTGTTGCTCTAACATGTCCTCACTGGAGCAACATATTAACACAACTCCACTGCAAAAGAGCCCTCTTTAGAAGTTTGCTGCAGGGATGACAAATTAACCCAGCATGGTGTCCCACACATCTATCTCAGTACAAATTATTAGTGTAATAGAGCTTTTAGTTATGCATTTATCTAGTAATTATTGAATGGTTATACAAAATGAAGCTGAGCAATCACGGCCCTTTATGAGGCGGGCTCGGTGGGTGGTCTTATAGTTAATTTAGGATAGGACTGTCTAAGCAGTTCACTCACACACAAATTAGCTGAACAGCCTGCTCCTTTAAATATTTCCTATGTCACAGGCTAACTCTTTACAATACAACAAAGGTAGAGTTTTAATTACACGGTTCCTGACTTTTGTTTAGCTGAAGCTTTAACCGTTTGCAAACCTCCCTCTCTGTCCTCCCTGCCCATTGCAGTCGGTGGCAATTTGGGGATCGTGTCATTGCTAAACCCTGACCTTGAGGCCATCTGTTAGAAACTGCTTTTCCTTCAACACCAGGTTATGCCAAACTGAGTGAAGAAAATCAAAATCTTCCCCTACGCAGTCAGCTACCCTGACATTGTAAACTGGAACATGTAAACTCATCTGATGGGCATCACTGTGCTATTTATGGCTTCACCTCAACTTTCTCACCCTTGTGGTGTGACTCTCACCTCTTTTAGCTATCTGACATTACCATCCCTTGATCTGAGGTGTCTGTATCAAACTGAAGTTGGACCACTTTGTTTTTGTCAAAATTCAAAGGAAAGTAGAAGGTTACGCCAGTCTGCCAGCTGATAGCACCGAGGAGCAGCCACTGAGAGTTGTACAGAACAGGATATTACAAAATGTCTTTTTACACTGTGCATCAGGAATTACCACTTTGATTCACTTGAAGCTGGTTGACAGGACAGCGAACAGGCACTGATACTTTGGTGACCCAGTCGAGAATTTAGATAGAGAAGGGCACAATATCTTTCCAGATATGTGACATAAAGTTTTTGCCACTTTGGCACGAACAGAAAGTACTGTCCTGCAGTGTTTCCCTGGCAGGCCTTGTCCTGATAAAAGTCTCAGTGGTGATGGCAATTATGGAGGAAATTATTATAATGGAAACCAGTCCACTAGTTGACTTTCATTCCTTCTTCTCTTTCTGCTCACACACCCACTTCCTCGGATTCTTCCCTTTGTGCTGTGTTTCTTGCCTTTGTAATTGTGTTTCTCGCCTTTGTAATTGTGTTTCTCCTTCATTTATCTTCCTAACATACCATCTCATTGTTATTTTTTTTCTTTTCTTGCCTTTTCTTCCTTGCTTTTTGGCTTGCAGGATCCACACTGTCATATTCTGTGGAAATGCTTGAATGCTCTGCAGCACAGGCTGCTGTACATCCTGGGTTTACAAGATCGTGGTCAATTTAACTTTTAGCTCCAGATATAAAGTCACTAGAGTGTAAGTAGCAATACATGGAAGCCTAAAACCACTTATGTAAATACTGCTGTCACCCATGGTATTTAAATCCTTCACTGTCTGGTAAAGAGTTCAAGTGGTCTGGGAAACTTTGTGAGGTGCCAGCAATACACTATGGCTTTGCAATGCTGGAGTGCTGTGGTGTTACACTGACCACCAAATAATCTAATTTGCAGGTAACAAAAGTATGCTGTGTAGGAGTGAGAGATCTGAGTGCTTGAATGTATTTGAAATAAATTCTAAAACTGATAGTGATGCTAAAGCCACCCTATAGGTGATCAATTTACCATCTGCCAGGCACTGAGTCCTAACCACGCTAGTCCAGAGAAGACATATGGTGCATTCATAGAGTCATGCCCAAAAAACTGCCATCATCAAGTGAGGCTCCATGAATCACTTTGCTAGCTTAGCACCAAAGAAACTTGGATCTTGCCACCATCTGTTGGAAGTACTGAGGAGTCACTGAAGCATTGGCATCCATGCACCAGCACTCACTGCACATCTGGTCCGTTGGTCAGCCAGCTCGGATCCTCTCCGCTGGCTACTGCCCAGCTGGGCTGAGCACTGGCAGCAGCACCAGTGCAGAGAGGAGCTAGTGCACAGCCTTCCACAACACAGAGCATCCAGACAATTTAATGAGAGCAGAGGTTTTCCAACTGGTTCATTGGATGGAGCATCTCAGAGCTAAGAAATCCTCGTAAGGATCTACTCCTCCTCCAAGGAAGTTTTGTTTCCAAAATGACTCACTGTGGGGATGACTGGGAAAGGCACTCAGTATCGTGGAACACCCCAGCGTATGATGTGCTCTGTATTCTAAGGGATGTTTGGAAGCGTGTGAAAGATTTGGGAATATTCCTGAGAAGTTATAAACCACTGGTTGTCAATGACAACATCTGTCATGAATAGCCTACAGCTTCTTCTCTGCCATTTTGATCATGCTTTACAAATGCATCTCATACACACATCCAAGTGATAAACTTGCACATATGAACATGAGAAAGAGATCGAACCTTCCTGTGATCGTTCGGTTGGCTGAGGAGCTTTCTCTGATGGTGACCTACTTACTCACAACTCTCCTCTCTCTGAAATCACTCTGCAGACTGACGATTAAATCCTGCTCTTAGTTTTCTGAAGACCCCTGAGAATGACCTGCCACTGACCATTTACATAATGCACCTGTATCCAAAGAGAATTTAACATATGTGTGCTATATCATTCTGCAGAGGCACAACTTCCACTAACTACTGGTGGATATGAATCGCTGAATTATATCCTCTTATACTATTGCATTATACTCTTCATGCTGCCACTTCTGATACCTGAAAAGCTTCTCTCTTGTGCTTACTGTCCCTAAAGTACACTGGAGGCAATGGGATAAAGAACAAAGCTGGATTTGCAGGAAATAATCCATCTCAGTATATTACCCTTTACTAAAAGAACGATCATTGTAGCAGAGAAATAAACACAGCCAGTGTGCTGTGGAAGAATACTGAGAAGGAATGTCCAAAAAGAACAAAGAATGAAGTCTGAGAGAAGACTTTTCCAGGATGATGACACTTAAAGAAATTCAGAGGGATTTTTTTCCTGAAAGTCTGTGAGGCTTTGTGAACAATCATAAAATAGAAGATGTTGGAGAAGAACAGTTTTGGTTAACCTGTTAGGAACCATGATGATTAAAAACTGTGCTACTTCTTTATGAAGTTAGTAAAGACATCTCCTTCCAAACAAACAAAATTTGGGACTGTAAGAATTGTATTTGCTCTTTCAACTTCTGGCTGCCATTGAATGTTCTTCTCACGTAGCCAATGGATATCCGCCAGTGCACAGAAAAAGTGTTGTGAAAACAGACTGTAGATGAGATTTAAACAAGGCCTCACCAGTAAGATATTTCCTCTCTCAACCACACAAAAATCCAAAACATAGAGGGTCTAAACAGGGGCAGACAGAGGCAGTCAATGATCCTAAAAAATTAGTGGGAGGTAAAACATAGCTAAATAAAGAAAGGCCTATTAACTAATCAATCAACAACCCAAATCTAAAAGGCTGATCTTCTAAAAGACAGGAATTCAGAGTCAGCTGATGTGCACTGAATAGAATGTTAATGGAAGCTTCATATTATTCATACTTATATCACCAATTAGCAAGGCTTTTAAAAGAAGATATATTTGCCAGATAGCTCAGATCCAAATTTCAAGGGATATCTGTATAGAGCTTAGATGCCTAAATATCTTCTGAGGATCTAGGTGTGTGTCTAAGGGTAATGAATAATTTTAATGGATTAACCACAACAAATCAAACTACAATAAGTAGATTTAACAAAGCACAAAACTCCATGAAGTACAAGTCTGACCTTGCTTCAACTTTGTGCAATTCCACCACTTCTCACCACATCACCTGGACTGTGCAGACAAAGAGGCTCCTCCTGGTTTAAGCTGCCCTCAGTAAAACCACACTGATGCCAAACAGACATTACCAAATAATTTCTAGGATGAATTGCTAATATGCCTTTTTATGCTTCACCATTCGACCACTTCCTTAATAATCTTCTCTAAATGAAACAAAATTTCATAGCAGAAAGAAACGTGCCACAACCATTCATTCCTACTTTTATATCTTCCAAAGAGGTTTGTAAGAGGATTCATTCATTTGTGTCTCTTACTGTGCCCAAGTGAGTTCCTTTTCAAATGTGAACTGAGAATTACATTTAGTTTTCTAGCCTAAATGCAAATGCATCTTTCTAACAAAAATGTATAAGCAAATCTAGACCCAGAGGACATCTCTTTTAGTTGGAAAGTCAGTCAGAAGAGTACTGGCAGGAAAACCAGCCAAAGCATTGAAAGAATCAACTTCAAAGGAGTCCCCTAACAAGGCGGATCTTCGGCACACTGACACCAGCAGCACAAGAATAAATGACTGGCAGCAGGAAAGCCACAGTGCTGGAAGACAGGCGTGGGTCAGAAGTGATGGATGGGTCCCTGTCTCAAGCAGTTGGACTGAATCAACGTGATGAATGGTCACAAGCAGAAGACACTCTCAGCAACACATCCTGTCCCTTTCCCCACCCTCTTCAAATAAACCCCCAAACCCCCAGAAACCAGCATTTCCACCTTAGGCACTGCTGAGTAGTCATCAGGAGCTTGCCCAAAGAGCCCAGCCTAACAAAACGAGACTCTAGACACCTAAACCCTCTGGGTTCTCAAGGTTCTGAGCGCAGCCTCTCTCTGGGCGGGTCACAGGTGGCGATGGCTTTCCACGGAGAGGCGCTGGGATGGACACTGGGTGCCGTGGCACATGTTTAAGCTGCCTGGGGGCTCTTGGGTAAGGCCTCACCTCTGGGTCCTGTAATGACAGGTCGATGGTGCTGTGTGAAAGCCGTTCCAAGGGAGGAGGTCTGCGAAGGCGAGGGACTGCTGAAACCAGACTTCTCTGACTTCTTTAATGTAGTTGGCGATGGCATTCCTGGCAAGAATGATTGATAAGTGCAATTTAATAATGCTAGGTCATGGAACGACAGCCTATGCATTGTGAAAGGGGGTGCAGAAGCAGCTAGACACACTTAAAGGACAAATGAAGCGAACACAACAGCAAGCTGGAAGCTCACTTTTATTTGTGGTCTTTGTCAAGGCAGAAGCAGCCATGGTTTGCTCTGAGCCATGAGTACTAAAAGGCAGCCATATTTTTCTTATAAATCTGAAATATGGATAGGATGCAGCTTATTATTGCTACTGAAACCTACTCTGCCTTATTTTTAGAAATCTGTAATAGCTGGAGCATTTGGATTTTTACAGGGTTTTTATGAGTTCTGTCTTTCACTCGTTGGTTTAGTAGATTACTGCAAATGGATCTTTTAAATGTGCTGCACAACTCAAGACACAACTAGAAAATGAAGTTTTCTGAGTTCAAATTCTGCCTCCCCTTACTCTCTTGACTTCAAAGGTATTTGAAAGTAATATATTTATGTGGTTCTCTTTTGCTTTCAATTTTTTTTTTTTTAAAGGGTGAATGGTATTTTTGCCTTGATATTAGAAGCCGCACTGGAATTATTTCAGAGTTGTTATAATGCCCTTGAACTATATCAAAGGCTTCCAATGAGAATCAGAGTTAGGTTGTCACTCGGTGAAACCTCTGCCATGGACAGGCAGAAATGGTGTGATGCTAATCTGACCAGTTTGGTATAAGAATAACTCCTGTTGATGCCATGTCAAGCCATTGGCATCAAAGAAATTACTGGAATTAATGTATTTCAACAGGCTCTTAAAATTCAAGATTTTTCTTTGTACGGTGGATGTTTGGATAAAAGAATATCACAGTATATAGATGAAAAGTATGTTTGTGTCAGTACTAGTCTCTATATTTTTATAGTTCTAGATGCATCTGGGTATTCTGTATTATCTGCACATATTCTGAAAACTCCTTATTTCCAGTATATACAGTTTATCAGGCATTTTGCACCTTGGTAGGTATATAATAAAGGTGAAGAATGGTTGGGATTTCAGGTGCAAAAGCAAAATATCAGATAACATGGAAGTTGAACTTCCACTAGCCAAGTCAGTCGACTTTATTTCCAACTCTGTATTTTACAGAATATAATTGTCAAAAAGTAAAGAGAGAGGCCTGGACAATATTATCTCTGGGCAATATTATTAACTTTATATTTAATAACACTAGTTTTATAGTCCCTGGGACGTTGATTGCAATAAGCAGGAGCCTTCTTGTACTTTATATGCTGCACTGCTGGGTCTTAATGGTTTCAGTGAGGTTTTGCAGTTTATATTTCTGAAAGTTAAATAAAGTAAGGGAATGGTTTGAGTTCCGTGTTGTACTTGAAGGTTTTCCCCTCAAAACTGTTTGCTACAGGATTTGCTGTCATGGTGGCTTTTTCCTCACAGCAGGAAAAGTTACAGACTTAACCTTTTAAAAATCAAAGTTTAGAACTGACTGTTGTGCAAGAAAAATATTGGGTTGGGTTTGGGTTTTTTTTTTCTTTTCTTCTTACTGGTCTTAAGGACTTTGGAGTAGGGACAAAAGAAAAGATTGGTTCAGTCTAGGGGGAATAGAGAAAAAGAGACTGAACTAAGGTGTCTTGATGAAATATTCCAATGCAGCCTGATGAATTTCTGTTCCAATGGCACGTTTGGATATAACTTAGTTATTGAATGTCCATATTCAGGACAAGGACACTCAAAGGAATTAAAGGTGCTGTTGACCCAGATTTCCTTATGATGGAAGAACTAGGAATGGAAACACAAACGAGTGTCAAATCCAGCCCCAAGTGGTAGGGAGAAGGGGCAGAGAGGCACTGGAACATGGTTTAAAGCTGTGGCACAATCATGTGATTGTGTCCAAACACTGGAACTTCAGAAGCTGCAATAAAGCTGATGAATGACCTTGAGTGTGAGCAGTGTCATGTTCATATGGGAATGGGTTTTATAAGGTTGAGGCAGCTGTTTTCATGTGAAAATACAGATTTTAATGTAACATTATGCTGTAAAATTGAGTAGAAAGACAAATTGAAGCACTGATAATTGTTACTACTCTTGTTCTATTTGTTTGTTATCATTCTGACTGCCATTATTATCACAAGTTTGGTTTATTTATTTATTTATTTCAGTGTATTTTGAAATGTATTGGTTTGGAACAGTCCAACTATACCATATTTTTGTTTTGTTTGGGGTTTGTAATGACACATTTTATTTTGAGTGATCACATCCATCAGATCTCAAGAAAAAAATGGCTGCTTCCTAGTTCAGAAGAATATGCAAACAGGAGCTTAATTACATCACTTAATATTGACCAAGAGAAAGAAGAAGATGAGCTTGCCAGCTCATTTCCAAAGCATGTTTTGTCCTTTAAGAGGGGAGGGGATGACAGAAAGTTAGGCAGTGCAAAGCAATTAGCATCATTCACGTTTTATGTTGCGCTAGCATGGTGCTCTAGCAGCAAAATTCAAACATTCTTTGAATGGGTTAATAAAAGAAGAAATACAGTCGGCATGCAAGAAAAAGGTTTCCAAGAACAAGCCAAAATATGTCCCATTCTTCTAAATTTATCACAGCCATGTCACATTATCCTTGAGACTGCCAGGAATGTCAATTTTTTTGCAATTTAAAAAAAATATCTCATTTAGCACCATATGTTTGGTTAATGTGCCTGATATATCCTGTGTATTCTTTAGTCCATCCATTTCTAATACTCATTTTCTTCTTTTTTTTTCTCCCCTTGATAAGCCATATGTTACAATGCTGGTCATTCTATCGAAGCTCCTTTTGGGAGCTGAGAGAGAGGGAACTCTGGTTTAATCACCCAGAAAAGCTTCAAATACAACAAGTCTCACTTAGGTGAGCAGTCTCAGCACTTGAGTTCGTTGTAGGTGCCTGGTGCCTATGAAAATTAGGCCACCTGTGAGATGGCATGGTGTATATTAACAGCTATGAGGCAGGAACTAAGGTAAAGGACTAAATATGGAATTAGGTGTTTAATTTTTGGCACCCATGCTTGAGACTCTTGGCTAGTTTTAAAGGTCTTCTGTTTCATATCTAATGAGTTTTAACACATTTAGGGGTCCCCAGCCTGCAGCGTCCCCTCCTGTGTTGCTCAGGGATGCAGGAAATTAAAAAGTTAAAGCTAAAGGTACCCCGGGCAGAGCTCGGGATGCATCCCAGGAGGATGCTGCTGCCTTGCACGGCTTTCCTCAGCATTGTTCCAGAGAGCCAATGGATAGTGGGGACCACTGCTCTGAACACCAGATTTCAGCACTTCACAGGACCCCGGGGAAGGGGTAGTGCCAACTCTAAGGACACCTCTGAGTCCCTGCTCTCCTCTCTCTGCTCTCTGGTGCAGGGCAGCAACAAATTACAACATCCCCCAACCCGTCTCAGCTGTGCTGGCCGGTGAATAGGGAATGGAGCCAAGGATCCTCCCTGTTCCCTGCCTCTTTCTATCCATCTGCTCTGAGCAAGGAATAAACAAGAACAGCCAGAACACAACGGCTGGGTAACCCAGGTGGGGTTTAAGTGTGTTCCTTACTATTCTGTGGATAGTACTGTTGTCCAAATCACAGTCACACCTGGCATTTTTAGGGAACACAGATTTCAGAATCCAGGTCTGAGTCTCCTCTGAATTTATTTTATTTAGAGTGCAAGAGAAGAAAATCAGACTTAGTCTATTTTCATCTTATGGCAACTTTTAACTAGAGAAAAAATGGAAAAGTTAATTGCTAAATAAAAAAAGAAAATAAAGGGATTTGTGGAATAAAGCGCAGATGGAAGCCTGAGTGGGTGTGTTACTTTAACTTACTGTACTTGTGTTCATGTGATCCTATATGTATGCCAAACATACGTGGTCTTAGCCTGCTCCCATTAACTTGAATCTGCTTTTTCACTGGACAGAGGGAACCAGATCAAAGACCATGATGGTGCTAAATGGAACAAGATGTGTACTTTCGCATTTTTTTTTCCAAAAGGAAATATTAATTTGAAGTTGGTTTTTCAGTTGAAAAGAATTTTAATTGCAGTACACAATAAGCAGAAAATTCAGACAACAATAATCTTGAAACTGTTAGCAGTATTATATTTCTATCAAGGAATTTGTGTGCCTTTTCAACATTAGAGCTTTCTGAATTTTCATTAATTTGGCATTTCCCTAAACACACAAGTTATTTTGTTCATTCCACATCATGCATCACACCCTTCTGCTCAATGCATAATGCAAGCGTAAATGGGATCCTTGTCCTTGGGAGACTCTGGTTACTGGAGCCATTGCACGGATGTTGAAGTCCCGCAGTAAGACTTTCCAAAACTCTGCACTTCGCAAACCTCCAGCCCAAGTTTAATCAGTGAGTGCACAGGAAAACTTCATGTTCCTCATCTTCTAAGGGGCACAGGAGCATTGTGGTGGGTTTAATTCCTCTACCTCCTTACGTTTGCCAGTACTAGAAACGCACCACATAAGAGTCTTCCTTGAGTACAGCTAAAGATCTTCAAATGTTCATGTATGAGGCTGATATATATTTAAATGGACCAGAAAATGATGCATGAGAATTGAATGCACAAATCCTTCCCAGAACAAATAAATATCTGTGAACCTCTTTTCCATGTACGTATGTGCCTTACTAACAGAGGAACTGAAATTAGGATTAACTTTGATGGAGTGAATGGAGTCACAGCAAGAGAAGAGAAATACCCCTTCTATCCAAATCTATAACTGTATCTACACCTGTATATCCATCCAATTACACTTGATTAACAACTAACATTATTCTGCCTGCACACATATTAAACAAAAACTCCATCTCTCGTTAGCCACATTGGTAGACCAGCTCATATTCATCTCCAAAGACAATTTTGGATAATTACCCCAATATTCCCACTACACTCTTGAAGGAGATTTCGTAACAAAAGCTATGAATGGAGTACGGTCTGGATCTTCCTTCTCAAGGCACACTAGGAAAAGGAATCACGGAAGCTCAGATATCACCAGGTGGACCATGAACTCAACAACATGCAGAACAAACAGATGATGCAGAAAAACAAGTTGGCTGTTGAAGGAAAAACCAGATACATGGGAAGAATTTTTCAAGGAATTTTCATCCTTCTGTGCAAATTATTCCAGCAATTTCACTGAAATCAGTATCAACAGAAATGCTGATCAGCTGCTATATTTTTTCCTGGGGAATTCTTAATTTTAGGCTTCTTGAAATGTTGATGGCTACACTCCTGCCAGTCATAGTAAGTCTGTTCTGCTTAGTGCTGAGCAAACTTTGTCATCAGCCGAGATACAATCACACTAACTGCCATCCATCAGTTTACTGTATTAATTGCTCCAGTATACACAAAATACAACACAGATGGAAATTCACTCATCCTAATGAAGTGCTCTTTAGTTTCTACGTTCTGAATGGATACTGGCTCCCCTGGTTGCATTCGGAGTTGCCATGATCACTGATTAACTACCTGCCAGCGAGCACCTCGCTTCACAAGGCTAAATCCAGCTTAATAAACAGTGATTTTACAGAAGAAAAATGAAAGCTCCCCCTCTATCCACTTATCAAACTACTGCATATGCATCACCAACACACACAACCAGTTTCCTCAGAACTCGACATCTGACAGATCATCAGGAAAACAGAGCTAATCTATCCGTACCCATCAACATCGTATCATAGGTGACTGCCAGATACTTAAGAAGCCATCCAAAAGAAATGTCACAACTCTTTTTCAAGACACTACAAAAGAAATGTTCCAAATAAAATAAAGCAAATGCACGTACAAGTAAATGAGCCAAAGAACTTAATAAAAAGAGATTGATTAAAATGAGGACCAGAATGTTCAAAAAGGACTGAGAGAGAGAGAGAGGTGCCAAAGGCGCATTAAATGGATTCAATGGCTTGAGGTTTTAAATGCTTTTGGACTCCTCAGCAATTTTTAGCCAAAAATGATAATTCAAGTTAGAATCAAAATTCTGATGTCACTTGGGGAAAAAGGAGGTTGAAATTTCTCTTTTGTAAGTAAGCACTAATCCATTTACAAAGGAGAAATACCAATTTATACTGATGGAAAACTTTGCCTACAGAATTTTAAAGCCAAGCACTACAATATTCTCCATTATTTTAAAATTCTACCCCATTGAAGTCTGCCTTAAATTGTTCGGTACAACGTTCCCATAGAGTGTATTACCTTATCTGTTTGTATCTGTGTTTACAGCATCATCTGGATATGTTTTAGATGACTTAAGTCAGGTTTCATTCCTGCTCTGTCACCCAAGCAGTTCTTTCAGTAACTAATAAACTAGTACTCAACATCCTACCAATTTCTTAAAAATATAATTTAATGAGTTTTATATTTAAAAACTTTAATGAGAAGTGTAATAAGCAGCAGGATAAGAGTTCAATTTTCCCTTCGATTTAATGTTAACTTCAGCATCATTTTGCATTGTATAAATATATATTGCAAGAAGAATTAAAAAAAGTGTCTAATGACGTCTTTAGACATCTCGTCTAAAATTCATGACTACATTTGTTTCATTTCAAATGCTACTTGAGAGTTTTTCAGCATACTTGGCAGATTAGATATAGCAGCAGGGACAAACTGCAGCCATCCATAGGAGAATATACCTTTATGTGGGTGCTTTGGGGATGGAACATCTATAGCTGCAAGGCAAAAAATGCCATCATAAATTTGGATGGCATTTACAAAGCCCTCTAAAAAGTCTTTGCATATGATTATAGCTGAGGTATGATATTTTTGCAAGTAAAGGACCCAGAATAGATTTATGTTTCAACTATATCTTCCTGGGATGCATATGGATGCTAAATTGCAAGTGATACTAAAGGGAATTTTAGTAACTGAAGAGGATGGAGTAGAATTTTGGGGGTTTATTTATTTATTTAATTTCCTCAAAAATCGTTTGCTCATTATTTGCATGTCATCAAACGATCATTGGCTACTCAGGCTATATATAATAATGATGGCTGCGAAACGCCCCAGGCATGAGATGGAGATGGGTAAATATGCAGATTTTTTTGACTTGTGACCTCAGTTACTGCATGGTAATGTTTTCAAATGACTTTTATGATGACAAGACTAAGTTTGGTGCTAATATTGGTTTTGAAGATTTAATCGGTGTACACTGCCATTGAACATGTGCTTTAATTAGTAAAAGAGCTGTGGTCGGGATTAAAAGTAGCTCAGATAATTTACCACGGACTGTAAAGTCACCTGATTTCTGCACAATTTGAGGTGAAGAGTTTATAGGTTATTCCAAAGAAAGAAAATTTTGCAAACTAAATTCATGTGCATTGTACCAACAAATATTTAATTTGATAGGTCAGGGGTGTACTCATGGAACTGTTATGTTTTGCTATCCAGTGGTTCTCGGTGTTTTTACCATCTGAGTTTGACAGTCACGGGACTGAAAAGTCATATAATTTCTCCATAACACCAAAAGTAATTTGTAGGTGACACTCGACTCCTGTGCTCTTTACTGGGATGTGCCTGTTTCCACTTGCACACTGGTGAGTGCCCACTGGAATGGCACTGCGGACCTGCCACCAGCAGTTCCCAGGCAGCAGAGACTTAAACTGCTTTCCAGCAGGTGAGTTCTCAGACAGGTGAAGAAATCAGGCTCACTTTTCTGCATTCCCAGTGGTTTTAGGATTCTGGGACGGAAGACAGCACAGCAGTTTGGCTTTGGCATCATTTCCAGAGGAGCCGTGGATGGCCATGCCGCTCATGTGAGCTGCCCAACACCTCTCTCACCCATGGAAAAAGTGAAAACACACCTGACAAAGAGGCAGAGGGTTCCCAGGGAAAATCTCCCTGCAAATTCCATGAAAACAGGCACAGGAAGGGCAGAGGTGACATGTACGTGCTCCCTCCAGCGCTGTCACTCTGGCAAAGTGCTCAGCAAGAACTCTGTCCTTACTAGACACTGGAGAATCCACACGAGAGGGATACCTGGTACATCCCTCCCAACCAACACAAAATGTCTGTGCACCGAGAACAAGAGCATTGGCATTGTTTGAATAAGCACACCCACCATGTAGTGCTCCACGGTGTTCGGGGTTTCTTAGATATCCTGATTTTATAAAAGAAAGTAAAAGAAGAAAAAAGAAACAAGGTGAGAGAGAACACTATCATATTTTGTAGCAAGCAGGATACTGTGTGAAATCTTGGCCCAGTGAAGTGATAAAGGGGAAGATTTCAGTTTGCTTAAGGGAAAACTTACAAGCAAATAGTAAAATTACCAAAATACCACATTGCAGAAAATGGGTGCATTTAGGTTCAATTAGGCTGTAAAAAGGAAAATGGCACTTTAGCTTGCAAAAATGAAGGGACAGAGGGAGCTATCAGAAGCAACTTTACAGGATTTGTATGCTGCTTCACTGGACCAAGAAAGCTACAGTATGGGACAGGACTTTTCTTTATCAGACACTTTGCTACATAGCTTTGTCGAACCTCAGAAACTGCTGCTCTGGCATTATGAAATAATCCTACATAACTTGGTCTCATGAGCTTAGGAACACAGAAAAATAGCCATGCCAAATCAGATTACAGGGATCCACCTAGTCCAGAATCCTCTCCCTGACAGTGGGAACTAATGGATGCCTAGAAAAGAGTAAAAGACCAGGGAAAGCATACAGTGATAATTCTCCAAAACACTCTCCCAATGATTTGTGATTCAAGGACTTCTAGGACAAAGCTGATATCACGGTATTGAAGCTGCTCGAATCCAAATGCACAGATTTACATTCCCCCCTCCTCCCCATTTTTGGATTTCTACCCCCATCAGATTTCTACCAGTCACACAGAAAAGGTTTCACAGTTTGGTGCTGGCAAGTCCAGCGTTCTTGCCACTAACTCGGAATGAGCTAACAGCTTTCCAGCCCAATGATGTTATGTGTATAAGAGCATCCAACACTTTTTCCTGCGTAAAAAAGTGACATGTGTGCTGAGGTGCTCTAAGTGTAAGTACTTTGGGAGATTTGATATTTTTTTTTATAAAAAAAATGCAAGAATCTGGCTGTAAATTGATATTAACATTTTTCAGTATATGTGTAAAACACATGTTTCAGAAGAATAGAAGAGAGAAACTGTCACTCACTGGGAAGCTTTAGAGCTATCTGGCTCCCTGGGAAACTGCATGCAACTATTCTGGTGTCCAAGGGTTTGACCAGTGAGTTTCCTCTTCCTGCAAAGAATGAATGCAGAAGTAATAGAAAGCCTGAGGGGGAAGATTTTAGCAAATGGCTAAAGATAATCCTATTCTGCCCACTCCAGCAGGTAGGAAGCAGGTGGTGGTGGAAAAAAAAGGGTGGGAAAGGAGAAATGCCTTTGTTACCCTCCCAGCAGCTGGCACAGGGAAGGGCAGGAGACTAAACTAGGAGACCCTCACCCTTGCAGCTCAGCCCTCTGAAATCCCTTTGTGATGCTGCAGTGACATGCAACGATGCCGACAGGTCATCCCAGTCCCAGCACTGCCACACAATGTCAGGACGTTCTGCTCTGATTCTCTGGGGTCTTGCTGTGACTCCCTTTCAGGACAGAGCACGGCTCACCGGCACTCGGGGATTGAAACTCAGCACACTGGGCTGGCGCGGCTTCATTAATGCTGCCACCAGCAACACAAAAATCCCATATTCCCAGACAGGAACACTGGCTTCTCAAGCATCCTGCTTGTTTTAACATCCACTTTTCAGAGGAGTTTTTAGAAAGTTTTAAATTTCTAATCAAATTGGTGTCTACAGGTGAATTTTTTACTCCATTTATTAAAAGAATCAGTAAAAGTAGGGATCTAAAAAAAAAAAAGCTTATCCTTACATTTTTTATGGCTTATTGACTTTGTAAGAGTCTACAGGCAGGAGTGATATATCAGGGAGTCCCTATAACTTTACTTAAAGTAAAAAAATTAGAAAGTGATCAAAAAGTTTTATAGAGGAGAGCAGAAACATAATTTTAAGCCTCTTAAAATTGCCTGGACTGTGAAATCAAGTAATGAACACTAGAAAAGGATCTGTCAGCTGGAATCAAAGCTTAGACTAGTCAGCATTTTCTTCCTAAACCTTATTATGGCAAAGATTTTTCATCTCTGCACTCTGTTCAGCCCAACAAATAAACCGACTTGACCTCCACCTGTTACCCGGTGAAGTCCGCTGTCATCTCTGACTAAACCCTATTCTTTCCCTTCAAAGCCCTCGGCACCACTGAGAAGGTGGGAAGACACAGCTGTGCACTGACTCAAATTGATACCAGTTCATAACCAGACAGCGTTTCACAGTACAAATTACAAGCAACAGAAGAGAGAAAAAAAAAAAAAAAATGTAGTGCCAATGAATTCTGGAAGGGGGCAACATTTTTCATCCATTTAACAATGAGATTTTCATAAAAAGAAGGTTTTTTATTTTTTTTGTGTATGATATTATGGACTAGCATTTGAGGCGAGAAACATTTTGCTTATGCCATAACAATGAACCTGTGCTAACACCACATAGGAAGGACCGAAGAACATAATGGAAGATGTTTGTGCTGCTTTTATATTTCATAAGTTGAATACATTAAACTGCTTCAAACAGGTTCAGCTCCAATTGCATATAGGTTTCTAGACTTAGGAACAAGTCACAGCTATATAATGCAACAATGCTAAATAAAAAAATTAAATATTATGAAACACAGAACAGCAAGATAAATCATGAGGAAACCCGTATAGCTCCAGCAGTCATTTCTTCAAATATATCATCATGGCAAAACCATGTAAGAAGCTTTCTAATACAAAGACATATCAGAAAAAGCTATTTCATATAAAGTTGGACTTCTCTGGGTGATTAATGCTACGTTCAACAAAGGAGACAGTGTCTGTCTAATTACATTAAATACTTATCTTCTAGGGATTGGCAGGGTGTTTCTGCTCAATGTCACTTTTCATGACAATGTAATGATAGATCCGTTTACTTACCAGTGCCATTAGCAAAAACTGTACTGTTTTCTCAACTGCCCTCATATCATGAAAATATTTGATTAACATACTGCAGCTTATCTAATACTCTAAGCAACATATTCTGCATAGTTTTCTCTCTATTAAAAGAACAAGATTACAGCTTGTAAAATTTTTATTGCACTCACACAAAAATAAATGAATAATGTGTGATACAGTTCAAGTATCTTACTAGTTCACAGAACAGGTTTATTTGATTTAAAATATTAACTTGTACTTAAAATATTAAGATTTGGGGGGGAAACAAGCAAACAAAGTCAGTACTCTGAAGCACTACTTCCCATCCAGACTTTAGTTATTATTTCCTTTTCATTTCAGCACATCTTTTGAAACTTTTAATACCTTGGGGGGGGGGGGGGAAAGAAGAAGAAAAAAAAGCTTTCATTCCTTTGCTGAAAAATAGATATGGCTATCTCCCAAGTCTTTAAAATTCACCACATCGTGAACTGACTCTTCAGATTCGCGCTACTGTGCCAACATCCAGCAAACAATAACTCTCTGGAAGAGTGTACCCAGCCAAGGCAGTTTATATAGTAACAAGATAATTTCATAAACTTATATTGAAGAGCAAGGCTGTGATGTAACATTCAAGCAGTATATATCAGCTACCTGATATTTACTAACAAGGTTAAACTCCTATCTGTTTGTGTCAGCACTCTTCATAATTCACTTTTTAATGGATGGACAGGAAAAGTCAGCAGTGTATGGCACAGATCATTTTTGAAATAGGACAAGACAGCTTATGGCAGTAGCTATTCCAAAACATGCTCCCTCTTTCCATACCATCACATCATGTCTGTGCTCAGCAACTACAATGCTTCAAATCTACTCATAAACCCTTTGAGGAGTGGCTTTCTATTTCTAAGTAAATCAGTAAATTTGAAAAGCAAAGAATCCTGAGGAGGAGTTGTCACTGTCAACTGGTACCATGCAGAGAGCATCAGTTCTCAGCTCCTTGGGATCATATTCCTGTTCAGGAGAAGGCACATGGGCAGCTGCCTTCCTTCCATGAGGAGTAAGGACATCAACCCCATTTTGTTACAGCTCCTCATGCTGCCACGAAATGGCAGCAAGAACGTACCAAAATTGACTCGTATTAGGCAGAACTCGACATAGCAACGCAGAATTAACCAAAACTGCCTTAAAATCCCTTGCAAGTGACTCTTGCAGCAAGAGGATGACACCGCAGCCAACTGCCACATGTGAGTCTCCAAATTAATAATGGATTTAGGATATTCATTCCCTGAGCTGTGAGGGTTTGGGGTGTGTCTGCAATTATCGAGATATAACTCTGACACACATTATCCTTCTATCAATGTCATTTCCCTTAGTAGCCAACAGATTATCAGCAGCTTTGTGATATTCCAGGTGTCAAAGAAGAATTAAAACCACAACAATTGCACAAACAAAGGGACAAAAGATGGGATACGTGTTTCTGAGCCCTGCATATCAATTTAATATGTGCAGCTGACAATGATGCAAATGTCCTCGGGAGAGAGGCAGCAAGATCCGTGCCCAAACATACACACACCACCGTCAGCAAGATGGCAGGGAACAGAAGCAGTAGGATTCCCAGCCCAGGACACATGCCTCAGCAGGCAAAGCAACCCAACGAAACAATCCTCTGGTTGGGGAGAATTTTGGAAGCACCTGATATGGAAAAGGGCCCCAAACAAGCCAGATGGTACTTTTAGCTGGCAGCAGAAAGTAGGAGACAGCCAAAAACATTACAGCATTTCCCCAAGAGGCCAGCAAATCGATTTTTAACCATTTTTTTCCAAAGTGACGCTATGAATATAAAAAATAATGTTGCGATGCAATTTTGAATTGCTAATTTTTGAATAATACACTTAAGAAGGCAACAACTGGAAGAGATGAGAAAGCAGCGGATTTTGACTTTCCCAGGGTGGTTGTGTATCTGATATCAGGTTTCTATTCAGTCACTGCCACTGTTTACCTGGAATTAAGTGCCAGGGTTGTTCAGGGTTTTCCACATAATATTAAAGAGAAAAATCAAGCAAAAGTAGAGAAATAGCACTATAAAACCACAATAGTACAGCAGTTCACAGGACATGGGAGAAATGCTGTTTGTAAGACTGTTTTGTCCTCTTAAAATGTGTCTCCCCCAAAAATTATTGGGGTTTTTAGATGATATTTTTTTTTTTTTTAAGAGAGGAGAAACAATTTCTTTAATACTTACAAGGTCCCATTTGGCTGGGAATTTGCATAAGAAATGCAGCTGCTTAGGGGATCTTTTAATTTTTAAAGTCTCTAAATGGCCAGAGTTTGCAATTCTGCCTGGATGACAGGAGTCTTTTCAGAAATCAATTTGATGTCAGATGTCGAACCTTCCCTTTGACAGCCAGAAGCAGCTCCTTGCAGAGCGCATTTAAGTTACATGTGGCTGAGCAGTTTTCACTCAAGGAATGGAAAAGAAGGGTGGGTTGTAAGGACTGAAAAGGCAGAGTGAGGCAGAGGAGTCATGAACCAAGTGGGAATGACCATCACCCTTTGATTCAAAGCTGCACCTCACACCTAGGGTTGACCACGTTCTGAGGAAGAATCAGGATGATGCTTTAATTCTGTTTGCTGTTATTTCAGTTAAGAGTAAAGGCAAGCTCTAAGACAGGGTTAAACCTGGACTACATCCAAAGTGCTTTCTCCTGTTCAGAGCAAGGTAGTGCATTATCCTGCTGCTTCAAGGATAATACTCCTGGAGACAAACGTGGGTTGCTGTAATAAAATACTAAATACAAAGAAAGATAATCCATGCATTTATATTTTTCCAATCTCATTGATTGCCAATTCTTAATTTTTTTTTAATAGAAGTATTTCCCCTCCTATAGGTGGAACCTAAGACATTTTCTCCAGCCCTTGCCAATATAAAATAGTCATATTCTTTTCCAGAGCTGAAGACTGCAGGTACCACTTCACTTGGCTGGCTTTTGGGGGTTCAAAGACCTGCACACAAATCCCACTGAGACAAAAGAAGACTATGCACAAAACAGTAAAACAGCCTATAATTTTCCAGCTAATTTTAGCAACAGGATCTCTTATGTTATGCTTTTTGGTGTATATCACACTGAAAATAACAGTGAGCATTGATGTAAGAGAAGACCAGAAAGGATGACCTCAGTAGGGCTGTGCCAGAGTGGTGGGAGCAAGCAGAGGTGGAGTATGTTAAGGATCACCTGCTCTTC